CAGGCCTTGGTGCCTATATTAAGCCTGTTTTCCAGACTACCCTCTTCCTTAATAATTTCCAGTTGTATTGTGGAAACCTGTAGCCCTTTAGCTAGAGAGATTTTGTACCTGTCTTGCATCTTACATATATTATTTTGACAGGAAGTACACAGCGATTAAAATTTGCCTCAAGTCCAATGTTCAGGCAGTGTTGTTTACATGCAGAACATATCCGAGGCTGGCATGGTTGACTGACCAAGGATGAAAGGCCCAAAATGGCAGGATGTTGTACCAGGCCTTGAGAGTTTCGCTCTGCACCAGGTGTATTCAGGCTCCCTCTTACATTAAATGCTTATGAGCAGTAGCAGCAGTACATGTTAAAGGTTTCGTCTTCATGAACAAGTGTTTTGGAGTTATGAGTGAAAACATGAGTTGGTCTAATACGAAAAGGTTATCAGATTCTTGTTGAATTCAGTTTTTATTGATATTCCCAATAGAGTGACAGTAGACCTAATCGATGCAATGTACATGTAATATACATCTATTGGATTACTATTGAGATTTTTGATATAAATCGAGCTCTCATCTGAGAAAGCCACGCCCCAAAGAGACTAAATTGCCCATCACATCATTTCTACTGAGCCATGTTGTAATGGTTAGAGTCAGGCTACCAGGCATAGAGACCAGCATAGAGTTTTTAGCCATACTAGTAGCATGGCTCTATGGAAGTGTTGGTCGGACGCCCACTTTGGTCCAGACTGAAATATCTCGACAACTACTGGATGGATTGCTGTGAAATTAGGTACAGACATTCACATCTCCCTCTGGATGAATTGTTGGTGATCAAATATTCTATTTGCCCAATACTTGGATCCTTTACCGTGTTTAATGCTAATTAGTAAATGTTATCACACTAATATGCTAAACTGCTAAACATCCATGTTAGCACTGTCGTTGTGCTAGCATGGCTTTTAAACTCATAGTCTTGGTTTTTAAAGTAGAATATGACGAAAAATCTAATTTTAAGTGGTAAATGACTGTAACCTGACTTTGTCCATTTCAAACTGACCTGAGGAAGAAAAACAAACGCCAGAACACAAACTCAGGAGAGGAGATGTAGAAGTTAGTGACATTTTAACTTTTTTATGTATTTCTTAGTTGATTGGAGTTTGCATTTATGCAGGGTACAGTAACACAGATGGAGTCCCTTCAGAGTAAAAGATCCAGAATATCAGTAAATGCAAAGTTGAATATTTTATTATTATTGTGTTTATTATACGTGTAGTAGTGGCAAAAAGCAAAACATTTTGTTTTCAGGGAGTGTATCTTGCAGGCATTGTAGCAGTTTGCTTTGAGGTGAAACTATTCAGATGGAGATGAGTAGAGTAAACAGAAACCAGCCGTTACTTTTGCGGTGAAAATGAAAAGCGAAAGGCTAAAGACAAATGTGCAGCTGGAACCTGACGTAGCGTTCATAAATGAAATCCCCCAAAAATGTGTGTTGACCATAGTTTTTAAAACACCTAAAAGCGTGATGAAAGGTTGAAGATGAAATATGTATCAATGGGCAGCTTTTTATTCTGCTCCATACCTCTGAGCCCTATCATGAGATACTTAGTCCTCAACAAACACACACACACACACACACACACACACACACATGCATGCAGAAACATGCTGGCACTCACATTTGTCTTTCTATACACAGGCACACTGACTGTATAACTCTCACAGCTCACACACACACACACATACACACACACACACATAGCTGCCAGCCAGTTTCACTGTATACTTTATAATGTAAACCTCCAACTAACAGCGGTCTGACACGGACACATGCTGTGAATAAAAGCACACTTTTACTTACATGATATAAATATGATTACCTATATCTAGAGAGAAAGAATATTATATACAGTATAATAATTAGAAAATAAAGAGTCACCTTTTCAAAGTGCCTGTGGTGAGTTCATTTTGTATTTGAATGTGTGTATGTGAATGTATGATGTGTAGCTGTGTGATCTTACATCCTGCACACACACACACAGATAACCCCGTAGTCTGGTGGTCTTCCTAGAAAATTAACACTATCACCACACCCCAACATAAACCTGCAAAATATTGATTAGAAAATGTACCCATAGGCACACTCCTCCCTCAACCTGCACACAAACACACAGACGCACTAGATGTGTATCAGCTGCGCTGTGTCAACTGTTCTGATTTAGCTGTCCGATAGATAACTCCTCTGCTTATCTCCACAGCCACCACACAGATGTCTGAATGAGGGAAAGCAAGAGGGCGGGAGGAAGATGAGTTAAAAGGGAAAATTGGAAGGAGAAAGGAAAAAGTTAATGAGGAGACTGGAGTACGTGCCAGCTTTGAGGTGTTTGAAGGAGATAGAGAGAGTGTGTGTGACAGTATGCGTGTGCTGTGGGAGTGTGCATGTACATACAAATGAGTATGTGTGTTTATGGTTGAAATATATGGGTGTAGGTGGCTCTTCATCTATTTATTTATCACTTTTTCTGATCAGATTGTGATTGAAAATGATTCATTTGATAGTATTCCTGTATCCCTGAGAGACCTGTGTCAACCATGTACACTGTTTATCCATGTGCCACATCAGGTGGTCTCCCTCTGTTCACAGATTGTGTTGCAGGAGCCACTGATCAAATGATTTTGAG